GCTTTGGATGATTTGCACTAGATGGTAGCTAAAATTTTGAAGAGTTCTCTTCCTTCCTTTGCTCAAGAGTGCCGACCAAGAGGGAGAAGAAAAGAGTGAATTTGGTGATTTTTTTGAGATATTTAATCACTTGGTAAGACAAGTCAAAAAGTGAATAGTTGTCAACAAAGACAACCAATGGCCATGTGACACTTGTCACTCCATAAATGCAAGTCTATCCTTCTTTTTCCCTCTCACATCAATCTCATCACCTCCTCTACTTATCTCTTAATACCCGATAAATTCCACCCAGTATTCGAAACTTAACCTAACTGGCCGAATTTTTCCGAACTTTTCGCACTAGTGGGTCCCATGTCCTTTATATATCCTTAATTTTTCAAAAACTATCCAATACTAGAAAAATCATCTAAAAACTATAATTACTCATAAAATTCACCAGGAAAATTTTTCCTAAGCCAGAAAATGCAGAAAACATGCCATTAAAGGGGATAAATCCTAGGAAAATTATTAAGAGAAATTTACGGGTCCTCATAGTTGTACCTAAGATTATTTTTTTATTAGGAAAATAATTAACAGTCATAACTTAATTATCGACATAGTAAGGAAAATTTGATTGTCAGAGCTTGTTGGCAATTATAATCTACTTGTTAATGAATAGATGAAATTATTATTGTATCAATGAGCAGTTGTGTGAACCACTTCTAAAGTTTTTCTTTGGCTAGAGCCCTTCTTATTATTGATTAATTTTAATTTACTTTCATTATTTAATTTTATTTATTTAAGTGTGTTTAATTAAGTGAATTGATTATTTATTATACTTGATCAAAATCCCCCAGTAATTCTTATTCTAAAAGAAATAAAAAATTTTTCAATCCCTGTGGAGACGATCCTACTTACTGCTATACATAAATTTAAATTTTTTTGAGTAGGTATTTTTTATTATTCAGGTTCAACACCTGTCAGTCACCATGAACCTGGTTGACAATCTGGGGACGGATTGTACTTCCAGTTTGACTTGATTATGTGCTTTATTTTTGACTAAAGCTTCTATAGTCAATCTGGTCAAATAATCTGGTCCAGCTCACCTCAATCCATAACCGGATTGCTCTTGATCTTCCACGTTCAATGCTTCACTATTTTCCTTTTGCGTCGCGCATCCTTTTCCAATCATGCTTCTGCCTTCAACATGCTTCGAGTCTCCTTAAATTCTTTAATACTACCCAATTAGCTCCATATTGAGGCTTTATCATTCACCTTACAAAAACATCAAGAATTTGTGAGTAAAATGGCACAATCACAAACATTTCCTATTATCCACCTAATGCACAACTTCAATGCAAAATAAGCTCTAAAAACAATAACACTTCCCATTTGACTCAAAAACAATATGAAACATCCACAAAAATAATCACAATATTAATTCTTATCAGTTCCCACCGAAATTTGATAAAAAAAAATGGGTCAAGAAGGATGTGTGAACAAGCTCCAAGTTGCCCTGCAACATGCACAACAAAATATGAAAATGAGGGTGGAGTCCATGTCTTGGTCTGCATTTTGTCCTATCTGGTAGATTTGCACTTTCCTGATGAATCTTGAAACCTGCTCTGCTTTTTTACCAATTTAAGCTGCAAATTTTTTTATGATAAAAGTTGAAATGGCTCTTGCACAAAATATGAAAGTTATAATGATCCCTTTTTGACGAGTGTAAAAAATTGATTACTAGAAACCCAATACTTGTAGTAGTGGGAGTCTAATTTGAACCCATGGGGAACAGTTGAAACTCTTGATTTTCTTTATTAAATTAATAAAAAGTAAATTGAGATAATTGAAACTATAAGTAGAACTAAAACAATAATAATAAAAATAGAAGATAAAATTAATAAACAATGAGCGAAACCAAGGACATAAAGATATTTATTCTGATTGATGATCAGTTCCTAAAGATTTAACCCTTAATTAACTGTTAGGCCTAAGTTACACCGGAAGCTAGTAATAACTTGCAGATTTTTCTAATTCAGCAATCAGAATGACACACTCAAATAGTATTCTTGTTATTAAACAATCTAAGTATTGGCGCATGATGTGTCCTAATTATCATATTTTTATGTTCTTCCATCACTATGAGTTTATGCATATTTTATCTTTTAAAGTGCCACTTAAGGTATGTTTTGTGATTGGATAGGTTGACAAGCACTTGGAGTGAAAAATGATGCGAAAGGAGTTCAATTGGAAAGAGAAAGCTAAGTTCATAAAGGCAGCAGCCAATTGGCGCAATAATAGGGCCAAATGCAAGGCTCGATCGAGCTTGAAACTGATTTCAATCAAATTAACAAATCAAGTGATGATGAGTGCCCATCTTACAACCTATTTTAAGAGCTGGCATTGGCTGAACATGTGTTTTCTCTGTTTTAATGCAACTATCTAATTATAATTGAAAACCCTACCTCTTAGCACTATAAATAAAGGATCTTAATAGATTCTAGAAGGTAGCCAAAGAAGAAGAATGGCCTGAGGCCGCTACTTTCTCATATTCTATATTCTTAGGAGTAGATTAGAATAAGTAGAACTAGAATTTGGCTATGCACAATTTTGTTTCTCTCTTGAGGACAGCATCTAGCTAATGTTCTATTCATGTTAAGGATTGAAGTATTTATTCCGTGACTGTGAAATCGGGTTTGAACTTTTCAATCTTTAATTTGACATCTATGATTCCTAAATTTGTATTCTATATTGATACATGTATGGTAGATAAGTGGTTAATTATTCTTTCTGCCTGTATTCTTCGTGCCAAATTACTAATATTGATTCATAATTGTCTTGTATTAGTATTTCTATGTGACAAATAAGGTTAGCAATTGGTTGTCCCCTTTTGTGAAACCTTAGGAGGAATCATGGTGTTGATTAAATAATTATGTGCGTCAGAGGTTATTGTCATCTTTGGTTGATTCTTGGTTATTAATGTTGTTATTAGGTTTAATTTAGGATTGCATCAATACCTAAATTGTCTAATAACAAGAATACAATTTCAGTGCATCATTTTGATTGTTGAATTTAGAGAATCTGCAACTTACTACTGGTGTCCAAGGTAACTTAGGTATAGTTGATAAAATGTTGAATCTTTAGGAGTTGATGATTAATCAAAATAAAGATCTTCATGTCCTTAGTTTGGATACTTATTTATTAATTTTATCTTTTTGTTTTTTATTATTATTGTTTAGTTCTATTTATAGTTTCAATTTTCTCAATTTACTTTTCATTATTTTAATAAAGAAAATCAAGAGTTTCAACTGTTCCTTATGGGTTCCCACTACTACAAGTGTTGGTTTCTAGTAATTTATTTTTGACACTTGCAAGAAGTGATCAAGGCAATCCCAAATTAACCTAAGAACAACATTAATAACTCAGAATCAGTCAAAGATGACAATAACCTGTGACACACACTGTTATTTAATCAATACCATGATTACTCCTAAAGTTTTACAAAAGGGGACTGATAAGAGTTTATTTTACGTATTTTTAAGTACATTTTATTAGTTAATTTTGGTTTGATTATTTAGTTTTATAACTAAAATAACTAGGTTTTGGTAAAAATATACAACTTTTGTAAAAGTGGCTAATATTGCATTTCTATTGATTTTAATGGTAAAAACTTCATTTTCTTGCAGGTTAATGATCCAATCATCAAAGGATGTCGAATGAGGTGAAAAGTAGATAATTGGTGATGAATTCAAGTGGTAAAAAAGAGAAATGAAGTGAAAAAACGTTTAAGTGAAGAAGTGCAGTTCAAGACAGTTTTGACACTCTTTGGTATTTCGACTATATCTGGAGCTACACTTATCAAATTGAGGTGATCTTTATAACATTTTAAAGCTAAGAAAGAGACCTACAATTGGTATAAAGACATCGAAATCCAATTCTGCTGTTTTCATGGACAAAAAAGTCAAAATACAGAAGCTACATTCTGTGGTCGAAAATCGAAACAGGGGTTTGACTAGGTGATAGTATTTTGATCATATCTTAGGCTACAAAGCTCCGATTTGGATGATTCTTAAAGCGTTGTAAAGCTAACTCAAAGAGTTACAACTTTTGTGTTTTGCACAAAAGCTAGTTCAGCATCCATCATAGAGAAAATTGTAGTTGAAGTGAGGCTAATTTTACTGAGTCAAAAATGCGTATTGACAAAATATGGGTTTAAGCCGCGTTTTGTGTAGGCGCGTTTTGTAGCCGAAAATCTGCAATTTGCTCAGCCATTTCTCTTGCGTTCATACTAATTTCCAGCTATAAGTTGCAAGGGAATTCGGTGCACATGCTTCAGAAGACAAAAGGGCAAGAAAGGTGGCTTATTTTCAAGTCAAAAACCTTTGTTATTGACTATCGTAACAAAGTTTAGATTTGGGAATCAAAAAGTGGAATTTGACTTGGAAAAATGGAGCTCTTGAGCAATTTTTATGCAAAGACATTGGGAGATGTCTGAACATCCATACGTAGTCAGATTTTCTGATAGTAAACTCTCTCTAGCTAGTAAATTTTGCAGGAACATTTGTAGGCTTCATCTTGTAATCTTCTAGTACAAGACATAGCAGATTTTTGGGAGGGCTTCACCATTACTTGGCTAAGCTTTTCTTTATCTTTTTTGTACTTGTAAACTGAGATGCTTTCCATTAATGAAGTTATGAGTTTGATTATTATTTCATCAATGAGTAGCTAAATTTCTATATCTAGGGAGTAGATGAAACTTATGGCCAAGTGATTTTTTTTTTTTTGTAAAAGATATTTTTTATTAATCAAAGCCTGAAAACAAAGCCTAGGTTAAAGCAAAAGCCTTAACCCCTAAAAGAAAATCGGATGTTACAAAAGCTTTGCAGATCCAAAGCCAAAAGCCCTCTAGTACAAGTCGGCAATTGTGAGCCCTTAGTGAAAATAACTCGAGTGCCCGACACGGCCCCATATTCTGCTAACGAATCCGCCACCGTGTTCCCCTCTCGGTAGCAATGACAGAACTAGTGAGAACTTGGCTCATCCAGCCGAATAGCACGAACAATCGGCCGAATCCCAGCGGAGACTCCCCATTCCCTCCTTAAACAATTAATCAAAACCAGGCAGTTAGACTCAACGATTAAACGGGAGACCCCTACTTGTCGCCCCAATTGAAGCCCTAAGAGGAGAGCGCGTGCCTCCGCCTGCAAAGAGTCCACACAACCAAAGGAATCCGCAAAGGCTACAATAAGCCTCCCGCACGAATCCCTAATCACCCCACAGCCCCCGCTACCACGATCCGTAGCACAACCATCAGTGTTTAACTTAAAGTAGCCCGCCGGAGGGAAAATCCACCTGACCGCCGTTGCAGTTAAAGCCCTCTGAACCACAGTCAGGGCCTCAAGAAGTTCCTCCCATTGACAAGGCACCATAATACCCGAAAAATGGGCTCTGATTAGCATTCTCACTTCATGTACGATAAGAGCTCGAATTTGAGAGCCGGCAATCTTGCGACCCTCGAACCTGGACATATTCCTGACCCACCATAGAAACCATAAGATTAGAATCGGGAGAATACGCATTAACCAGCATAGCGCCTTTCCTTTCAGGAGGAATAACCACCAAGGGGCGCACCGGGATCTAACCGTGGCAGCCGATGCCGATATTCCAAGGGAATACTCAAAGAACGCCCATGTCTTAGTGGCTAACTGCCCAGTTGAGAAAACATGTTCCATCGTCTCTAACTGGGCAGGCACACAGCAGTGACATTTAGAGGGACCATAAACTTGAAATTTTTCGAGCATGTTGTCCATCAGCAGTTGGCCATTCACTAAACGCCACATGAAGAAAGACAATTTACGTAGGATGGAGGACTGCCAAAAGAAGGAAAAGGCCCAGGAGCAGGCCCTAGCCGGGCGAACAAGTTGATATGCCGACCTAGTCGAGAAAACCCCCGAAGGGTCCCCTAACCAAATTAGGGTATCTGGATCCGAGCCAAAACAGAAGAAGGATCCCTGGGCCGCGTCCCCTATCACTGCGAGCAACGATGCCAAAGCCGGATAGTCCCATCTCTCTTCTCGTAAAAATTCCCAAAACCTTCGCATCTGACGCCTCATCAGGAAACCTCCTCGCCAAAGGGCCTAGCCCACACTAGTTATCCCACCAGAAAGCCACCTCCCCTCTCGAGAGATCCCACTTCAACCAATGCTCCATGGTTGTACGGACGTCAAGCATACGTTTGCAAGTAGCAGACAATTGAACAGAAAAAGGACCTTGATTCGGATGCAGGGACCCGAAATATCTGGCCCTCATGAACTGCGCCCAGAGAGATTGGTCATGTCTAAACATCCACCAAAGTTTACAGGAGAAAGCCTCCACAATCGCCTGAAGTGACCGGAAACCAACCCCTCATTCCTCCATCGGGAAACATAATTTCTCCCACTTCGCCCAGTGCCGCTTAGCTTTAAACTCTGACTCTCCCCAAAAGAACCGCGCCAACATCCGCTCCAGATCGGAGATCACCCCCCTTGGGGACTCTAAAACTGCCACAATATGAATAGGCATGGACGACAATACATGCTTAATCAGTAGAGTCCGAGCACTCATAGACCATGCCAGGAGGCAATCCGTTGGGAAACTTTAGTCAGCAAGTCAGTAAATAAGGCTTTCACTCGTCTCCCCCCAAACAACGGGCATCCCAAGTACGTCATCGGTAAATATCTAGGATAGAATCCAGTGACTTGTGCAATTATCCTCCTGCGAGCCACCGAAGTTTTCTTGCTAACCAAAAAATAACTCTTCGCCACGTTCACTAGCTGCCCTGACACCTCCTGGTAACCCTGTAGCACCTCCCTGACCCACTCCAAGGACCGCTTACCACCATTGCAGAAGATGATTATGTCATCAGTATAGGCAAGATGTGTCAGCGTCGGAGAGTCCCGCGACACCAAGAATGGGACAAACCTCGAATCTCCAGGTAGCTCATTCAAGCGCCTAGACAAAACCCCTGCCGCAATAATAAATAGTGCCAGGGATAAAGGGTCCCCTTGATGCAAACCACGAGAGGAGTGGAAGAATCCGCAGGGCTTCCTATTAACCAAAATCGAAAAATGACACGACGAGATCAGCCTCCAAACCATGTCAAGCCATTGCTCCCCAAATCCAAACCATCTTATAACTTGGATTAGAAAATTCCATGATACTCGATCATACGCCTTGGCCATGTCCAGTTTGAGGGCAACATTAGATCCCCGCACCTTCTTTCCTAGCGCTGAGCACATCTCTAAAGCCAGTAAAATATTATCCCTGATTTGTCGACCCTTTACAAAGCCACTCTGTTGCGGTGAAATTATCTTCGGCAGTACACTTTCCAAGCGCCTCGCTAACAGCTTGGAGATGATTTTATTGACAAAATTGCACAGGCTAATTGGGCGAAAATCTGAGAAAGAGGACGCCCCAGGAACCTTGGGGATCAAAGCCAACCATGTAGACGTGTATCCCCAAGGCAGCTCCGCTCCTGTAAAAAAATCACAAACTGCCCGAACAATATCCCCCTTCACTATCTCCCAACAAGTCGTGAAAAAAGACCTCTTGAAGCCATCTGGACCCGGACTACTCTCACCATCCATCTGGAAAATAACTGACCTGATTTCCTCCTCCATGGGGAACCGTTGAAGGCTCACGTTATCCTGTTCTGTAATAATCGACGGGATCACACTTAGCAAAGAGGGGTCCACCTGCACCTGGTCAGGCTGTGACAAAAAGCCCTCAAAGAAAGCAACTGCCAAGTCCTCAATCCTGCCGGCCTCCTCCGTCCAAACCCCATTGCCATCTTTCATCCGATGTACACAGGAGCGAGCCCTCCACTGCTTCACCTGTGCATGAAAAAACTTAGAGTTGGCATCCCCTTCCCGAAGCCACCGCAGGCACGCCTTTTGACGCTAATAAGCCGCCTCCCGAAGCAAAGACTGCTTGAGTTCACCCTGAGCCTGTGCCAGCTGATATTGCCCTTCCTCCAATGAACCCTCCTCTAAGGAGCATTTCAGAGCCAAGACCATTTCCTCATGTTCCCTCACACGGTCAAATATATTTCCAAAAACCTCCTTATTCCATCTGCGCAATGCCTGCTTTATCGCTTTTAGCTTCATGAGTAAGACCTTAATAGGCCGCCCCTCACTCTGCACCTCCCATGCCTACCTAATCACACTCTGGAACTCAGCATGCGACCTCCAAACATCAAGGAATCGAAAGCTTGTAGGAGCCCCACCCACCACCATAGAGCAAGATACTAACAAAGGGGAGTGATCAGAGGCAACCCTACTCAAATGAGTGACCGACGTGGTCACCGCTAAATTCAACCACTTCTGGTTAACGAAAACCCTGTCCAAGCGCTTCCAAACCCTGGCTCTGCTCCAACGGTTGTTACACCACGTAAACTGAGACCCAGTGAACCCCAAGTCTGTCAACTCAGCATCCTCAATAAAGCCTAGGAAGGATTCCGACTCCCTAGCGCAAAAGGGACGCCCCCTTTTCTTTTCATTGGCGCCAATAATAACATTAAAATCTCCTAGAACTATCACCAGTCCCCCTCGTGGGCACACCCCCACCAATTGATGCCAGAGCACCTCACGATCGTGGGTAACACACGAAGCATGAACAAAGACCTCAACAAAGGAACTCCAAACCAAAAACTGAGGTAAGGCAGCCAACAAGTAGCAATTGAAGTCGTGGTCAAACATCACCCACAACCTGCTCTCCTCATTAGAGACAGCCTGAGAGAAGCCTAACTTTCGACGAATAATATCGAGACGCTCGCGACCCACCTTTGGCTTGCACAAAGCTAACAAAGAAATCTTATGCATCCGCTTCAACTTCCTCAATCGAGCTATGGTAAGGGCGTTATCCATGCCCCTAACATTCTAGAAGAGGGCCTTAATCATGATCGCGGTCTTAGAAAATAAGGAGGGGGCGAAACACCCTTCTTCCTGTCACGATGACTCACGACCGTATGCCAGTCTCCAGGATCCCTCAACCCCTCCAACACCTGTTGCGAGGCCTCCAAGGCAGAACCTGTTTCCACGTTCGCCTTGCGAGGTGACAAGTTGAGATTCGCGACCATAGCACCCTGTTGATCCCCCACCTCCACCCAAACCTGGTCCACCAGAATTGGCGCCGCTAGACCCCTACTCTCACAGTCCACCGCTGCCATGTTCGCCTCCTCAAGCACCTCCTCGGGCTCCCGAATCAGTTGGTCTGCTAGCTTGTGAATGATAGAATCTGCAGTAACCTCAATTGCCCTCTCCACCAATGCAGCAGCAGACAGACCATGCTGCTGAAGATGTTGCGGTGAAAGCGCCAAAGCATCCCCATCCCACACTTCCCCTGGCGACGTCTCATCTTTGGCAGGCCGTGACATATCCGCTCGCTCCAACTCAAGACATGCAGTATCAACGGCAGCACCCTTCAACATCACAGGATCCTAATCTGGACATCACCCTCTAGACCTTGCCTCCCAATCTCAGGTTGCATCGCATCCACTTCTACCCTTGCAACAGCCACACCAGATTTCTCCCCTCCCTCCGAACCCCGGCTGTGCCCCTGGCGAGGAGGTGACAGCAAACCCACCTCCCCCAACATCTCCGACACCACACCAACTTTCGGCTTAGGCTGCACTTTGGGCAAGCGCAACTCTGGATGCTTCACATGACACAGGCCCTCTTCATGCCTTTGACGATAGCAATGACCGCAATAACTGGGCAGTTTCTCAGGAATGAGAGCCTGCCAGAACCCGTCCCCATCCCCCATATCAACCCATACTCTTGACGGAAGCGACTTCAACAGGTCCACTTCAACACATACTCGCGCCACATTTGGGCAAGTAAAGGAGGAAGTAGCCGCATCCACAAACAATGGAGTCCCCAAACAAGAAGCAATGTGAAAAAGACACGGTTTAGAAAACAAATGAATGAGCAGCTTGGGTAATCTAAACCAAACAGGAACTAATGACGATTCTCTGTCCACATGGAACTTAGAACTCCACTTAAAGACCCTCATTGGACAACCACACACATACCACAAATTCCTTGGCCAAACGTGGAGGAAGTCTGCCTCCCCATTGAACTTCAACAGAACATGCCTGGCATCTAAGAGACCCACAGAGACAGAGTCCTTTAAATCAAGAGAAGAGAAGAACTGATGTAATTTCGGTAGCAACGGGCGCCCTCTGGAAAATTTCCCCACCAGCGTGAATCAAAAAGACGAAACGATAGCTGCAATGTCTGTCGCATTGAAACCACCGCAGGCTCCCCGCGATGCGTGGACACTAACGCCTGGATTTGCACCAGTTTCGCCGGTGACTGGTTCTCAAACAAGATAGAGAAGGACTTCTTCTTGAACGTAGGAGATGATGAAGGACCGCCACCCGTGGGTGGAGGGGCAGCTGCGGCTGCCATGCCCTTAAGAAACTCAGAACCCTAAACTTCTAAAAAAGGAAACCTGAGAGAGCGAAAATTTTTTGATGGCCAAGTGATTTGAATTGAATGTGATTTATACTTGTTGTATCTTATATTAACTTGTCTATTTGTGTATGCTTGATTACTTGTTGTTGTTTGATCACCAATAGCAGGTTTATAATTGTTATTACTCATTGAAAAATGGTAAAAACAATGGAATAACATGAGTAGAGTTTGAGTTATTAATTCAAGAGAATAAAATTGCACTCAAGTGGATTAAATTTGCATTTCATATATGAATAAGTGCAGCTTTTGTCTTACCAAGAGATTAGGGAAAACTAGGCTATTCTAGACCATTTTTGTCATGAGAATGAAATTTTAGCAATTTAGGAAATGAATCCCTGGTTAAACAAGAGTAGTATTAAGTGTTAAATTCATTCATTTGGATCATTTGTGTCATAAGTGGAATCTATATCCCTAAATTCAAGTATTTGGTGAATTTTTCTCCATTTGTGATATTGCAATTATCTAGTTAAGGATTTTAGATGGTAAACAGATTTGTAGTTGGATTTAATTCTGAATTTTCTGCTCAAATAAATTGAGAGTCTAAATAATAAAGTAAATTGGAATCTAGTAATTGTTTAACCTGCTCCTCGTGAGATCGACCCGATACATACCCTACATTACGATTTTGGCATGTATACTTGCAGTCAAACGAGTATAAATTTGGATTTAACTTGCATTTGTAGTAAAAAGCTCGTCAAGTTTTTGACGCCGTTATCGGGGAGCGACAATATTAGAGCCTAATCATCTCCATTAATTTAACATCTTTATTTTTAGTTGAGCTGCCTATAGCTAGCTTAACATTTTAATCAGTTTTGATAAATAAAAATTGCATAATCTTTCTTATTTCTGTTTGTAGTGTATGCACCGGACATCTCGAGAAGTAGCACCTTTCGATTCAGAAATTGAAAGGACGTTATGCAGACAAAGGAGGGATACACCACAGCAAGAGGAACAAGAGGTTTGGCAACCGATAGAGGAAATTTTAATAGAGCTACCATTTTGAAGAAGAAATGGCCGAAAACGAAGCAAATAGGCGAGCTCTATGAGATTTTGCTTTGCCGAGAACACAAAGATCTCAAACTAGCATCGCAAGACTAATGGTAAATGCTAATAATTTTGAAATTAAACCATCACTGATTCAAATGATACAACAATCTCAATATGGAGGTAATGCTACCGAAGATCCAAATTTTCATTTGTCAACATTTCTTGAAATCTGTGATACAATTAAGTTTGATGGTGTTAGTGATGATACAATTAAACTTCGATTGTTTCCATTTTCGCTAAGGGACAAGGCCAAGGTTTGATTACAATCTCATCCTCCAAATACTTTTACTACTTGGTCTGAATTAACTAAGGCTTTTCTAAATAAATTGAAAAAATTGCTAAATTTAGAATAGATATAACTAGTTTCTCTCAACAGGAAAGAGAGACATTGTACAAAACTTGGGAGCACTATCAGGAATTATAAGGAAGATGTCCTCATCATGGTTTACTAGATTGGCTGATAGTGCAAACATTTTATAATGGTCTCACCTATCAAACAAAGACATATGTAGATACGGTAGCGGGAGGAGCGTTGATGGGAAAGTCAGCTGAGGAAGTTCAATAATTGATGAAAGAAATGGCAGCTAATAATTATCAATGGGCTAACGAACAAGGTAATACAAGGAGAGCCACAGGTATGCTTGAAGTAGATACCTTGAATATGTTAAGTGCAAAGATGGATAATGTGGTTAAGATGCTTAACAGACAAGTTGGTTCTAGTTCTAACCAAGGAGTAGTTGTTGCGTGTTGTACTAACTGTGGAGGAGACCATGATGATTCTATGTGTTCTAGCAGCGAACAGGTTCAATATCTCAATAATTACAACCGTCCACCCCAAAATAATCCATACTCTAATACCTATAATCCAGGGTGGCGTAATCATCCAAACTTTGGATGGAAAGATCAAAATAATCAATCAAGGCCAGCAAATCCGTCGGATTTCAACTGAGGCAACCGCAAATGGGAACTAAACCAAGTTGGGAGATCGCGGTTGAAAAGCTTGCTAAGGTGACTTCGGATAGATTCGAGCGAGTTGAGAGACGGTTAGACCAATTGGCTGGGATGTACAGAAACTTGGAGGTTCAAATTGGTCAAATTGCCAATGTGCTTAACAACAGAAACCCTGGTGAATTGCCGAGTAAAATCGAAGTGAATCCCAGAGAGCATGTCAATGCTATCACTCTTAGAAGTAGTAAAATGGTTGAGGGACCTGACTCTAGTGATCCAAGTGGTGAAAAAGATAAGGAGCAAGCATATGAAGGAGTAGAATCAAGCCAAAATGATAATTTAATCATTAATATTGATGAACTTCCTCCTCAATTAAATTCTAATGTGATTTCTTTTCCTCACAGGTTGAAGAAAGATGGACAGGATCGAGAGTTTGAAAAGTTCTTCAAAATATTTAAACAATTGCACATTAACATTCCTTTCATTAATACTATAACACAGATTCCCTCTTATGCGCGTTTCTTGAAAGATATCATGTCAAGGAAGAGGAAAATTGTAGATAATAAGATGATAGCATTAACGGAAGAGTGTAGTGCATTAATTAAGAACAAACTCCCTCTTAAATTAAAAGATCCAGAAAATTTTTCTATTCCTTGCACTATTGGTCAATTGCATTTTTCTAATGCTTTATGTGATTTAGGTGCAGGTGTGTCACTTATGCCATTATCAGTTGTCCGGAGGTTGGGACTTCAAGAGTTGAAAGCTACCAATATCACATTGCAATTGGCGGATCGATCAATCACACATCCAATTGGTATTTTGGAAAATATGCTCATAAAGGTAAGACAATCTATAATACCTGTGGATTTTGTTGTTTTAGATATTGAGGAAGATGTGAGAATGCCAATTATTCTAGGACAACCGTTTTTAGCCACCGCACGAACTATAATTGATGTGGAAAAAGGTAAGCTTATATTACGGGTTAATGGTAAGGAATTAGAATTCAATTTGGATAATAAAGAAGGGAGTATAGAGCCTACTGCTCTTGTTTCTAATATGCTATGTGATGAAAAGGTTAACCAAAAAAGAAATGAAAAAGTTAAATTTATAAACGTTCTTGGTACTAACTTTCATAGTGTAGGAGCAAGGGAAGAGAAGATAAGGATGGAAGTTGGCTTAATAAATTCGCCATTCCATGAAAAAAGTGGAGAAAAGTTGAGTCAACTTGAAAAAGACAAGCAAATTCCACTCCAAGGTGAAGTCGAGCCTTTATATGACAAGTCTACTCCTCCTTGGCATTTGAGAAAATTGGACTTTGGAGATCAATGCATGGCTCACCACAGAGTGGATTGGCTCGGGAGTTTCGACCTGTAGAGAGAAAATCAATGTTCTAA